TTCTTGATTCCACCGAAGGATCAACTCCAATTTCCGCTTCCAGACTGGAGGATTGGAAACCAACATGAATTTCTTAATCACAACCCATAAACTGAATGATAGTAACTTTCTCCAATGTTTCCAAGCAGTGTCATTGTTCTTCAAAGGACGTGCACTGTCTTTATTCGAAACCCTGTCCCCAATCAGAGTAAACTTGATCCTAGATCCATAAAATGTGTTTTCCTTGAGTACTCTGTCACTCAAATGGGGTATCGGCGTCTTGATCTTATCACTAACAAAATCTTTGTGAGTGTTATTGTTTTTTTCTTTGAAAGTGTTCCCTATTTTTTTTCGTTCGACCCTAAGTGAGGGGGAGCTTAGATTCTTAGACACTGTCCCTTATCCTACTCCTATGAATGTTTCTGCCACTAAGGAGTCCCCTGTTACGATGAATGCATTATCCGGTGAGTCCCCTGGTCCGGTGAGTGCATCATCTCCTACTATTTGTGTCTACACGTCGCGCATCTGTTCTAGTACTCCTACTTTGAAGCCCGCTACCTCCTTATGAAACCTTGACTCTCAGCACGTCCCCTCTGAATGAGTAGGTGAATTCTCTAAATAAGGTATACAATCAGGCATGCTCCCTCTCCTCTGTGGCAAAATATGTGGTTCCACGGTTATTACCAACCTACAGAGCATTGTTTCTACCCTGACGGACTATCAGATCTCTGCTACTGTTGGGAAGTCGTGGACCTTTCTCGGGGTAAGAAAGTTGTAGGGTGCAGATGGATTTTTAAACCAAAGTTCAACTCTGACAGGTCCTTTGAACGCAACAAGGCAAGATTGGTTGCCAAAGGTTACTCACAGACCTACAACGTTGAATATGAGGAGTCATTTTCTCTAGTGGCTAAGTTAGACACTATTCACAGGTCCTATTGTCACTTGTAGTGAATATGGATTGACTTTTATTCCAACTAGATGTTAAGAATGCATTCTTGAATCGTGAGCTGACAGAAGAGGCGTACATGCTCGCCCCCTGGGTTTTGATTCAACTGTCTCCAGAGGGCAAGTGTGCAGTCTACGAAAGTCCCTTTATGGGTAAAGCAGTTTCCAGGGGCCTGGTTTGAAATGTTCACTAAGGTGGTCATGAGCCATGGTTTTACCCAGATTCAATCAAATCACTCTTTTTTCTGCACCCCAATGGCCAGATAACTATTCTTATTGTCTATATTGATGATATTGTTTTTATAGGTAATGATTTCCCACCATTGGAGTCCTTAAAAGACCTTGTTTCGTCCTTCGAGATGAAGGATTTGAGATCTTTCCGGTACTTCTTAGGCGTGGAAGTGACTTGGTCGTCTCGGGGAATTTGTTTGTCTCAGCTCAAATATTTGATTGTTCTCCTAACAGAAAATGACCTTATGTGAAAATTTGTTGTTGTTCCTAGAAATTCTAATGGAAAATTATCTGACATTTCCAATGTTGTACCTGTCAAAAAAACTAATTACTAGCACTTTGTGGGAAAGCTTATCTACTTGGCTCATACTCACCCTGACATACGCCACGCAGTTGGAATAGTGAGTCAATTCGTGCATGAGCCCTACGAGCACCACCTCCAAGTTTTCCACCAAATTCTCCACTACTTAAAAAGTACACCGAGCTTAGATTTATTCTTTTTCTACCACAACTCTCAGTCTATTGTTGTTTATGCTGGTGCTAATTGGGTCAGATCGGTTTATGATCGGTGTTCTACCTCTGAGTATTGTTCATTTGTATGAGGCAATATTATCACATGGAAAAACAAAAAATAGTCTGTGGTTACCCGGAGCAATGCTGAAGCTGTCCTTAGAAATCTGTGAAGCTCTTTAGCTATGCATCATGCTTCGCAAACTCCGTATACTAACTTCTGTCTCACTGTAGCTATTCTGTGATAATAAGGCCACAATCAATATTGATCACAACCCAGTCCAACATGATTGTACCAAACATAAGGAGATTGGCAGACACTTTATTAAGAAAAAGATTGGGTCCAGGGAGATTTGCATTCCATATGTGCCCTCCAGTGGTCAACTAGCGAACTTTCTTACAAAGAATGTGCCTTGCTCTTTGTTCAATGACTTTAAGTACAAGTTGAACACGTCTTACATTTATGCTTCAACTTGAAAGAGATTATTAGATTATAACTGCTATCTCTACGCCGTTATTACTTATTATTTGCTTTTATTCTCTGATCATGTATTTCATTTTTTGATTTATTCTAATTTATTTTATTTCCTAGTTATTTTATTCTGTTTTTATCACTTTCTATTATTATACTTATTGTAATTGGGTTTAAATACCCATCCTCCTATCAATGAAATTGTACTGCTCTATTCCAACATACAACCCAAATTTTATTTATTTACATATCTAGCCCCTACTTTGCTTTTGACCTTTATACCACCCAAATATTTCATATTACATAAAAATATCATCATTTTAACTTTTAAAAGGTTAAATACGGCATTTCATGCGTACGGCATTTCATGCGTAGGTACGGTGGTAAGTATGTGAAAATTGAATTTTAGGTGTTAGATATGTAAATACGTAGGACTTCAGTGGTATGCATGTAAATCTTCCTTTTTTCTTGAGTAATGTCCAAATTTTGTTATGCTCCTCATTCACACGCATGTGTGCTGAAATGGGAGCAAATATGCATAAAAAGTTATGAACGGATATCTAGCTCGGCGTTGAAAATTTTCATGTCTATCACATCATTCTAGGCATTGCATTGTTATGTGCCTCTGTACATTGTTTAAGTTCTGTCGAACTCTTTCCTCAGATTAAGGATCTGTTAGGTGATTATGATTCTATTCATGTGAGGCGAGGTGACAAGATAAAGACTAGAAAAGACCGATTCGGAGTTTCTCGAACCCTACATCCCCATCTTGACCGAGATACTCGTCCTGAATTTATTCAACTCAGAATTGCAAAATGGATCCCACCAGGTCGTACCCTATTCATAGCTTCAAATGAGAGGACACCTGGGTTCTTCGCACCTCTTTCTGCAAGGTATTTTATGCACAGATATCTTATTATTGTTACTGTTGTCCAATCAAAATGCAAGAATCTAAACCAAAATCCTATCTGTATTTTGGTTGCATCCTTTTTAAAAGGAAGATTTACATACATGCCACTCAATTCTTATGTATTTACATATCTAACACCTAAACTTTTACATACGAGCCACCTTAACTACACATTTCACTTTTTAAAAGTTAAAATGGTGGTATTTTTATGTGATATGAAAGAACTTGGTGGTATTAATGTTAAAAGTAAAGTTTAGGTGTTAGATATGTAAATACATAGGAATTGGATGGTGATAATGTAAATGCCCCTTTTTCTAAATTGCAGGCTTTCCCGGCCTTTCAATTTTAAATGGCAGTGTTTTTTAATTGACATTATAAGCTTATTTGAATCAGTTATAACTTAACTGTGATCAAAACCCTTTTGCCAGTGCTGAAAGGGTTGTCTTTTGTTATTTATTGAAAGCGCAGGCATGAAAGTAACCTTACTCTTTAAACACTAATCATTTAACCGATGGCACATAAATAACAGTTTTGCATGTGGGGCGTGTCATTGACATTTTCTTAGGGGAATCATCAAACCAAAATGAACCTACAACATGCAATTTCTATAATTGTTGTTTAAAATATGTTGAAGTATAATCTATCTATTATTCAGATTGTTACCACTAGAGATTGCTTGTAGTTATTGCTGCAAGTCTTCCTAGTTCCCTGATTTTAATCATTGAAAATTTTTAGGAGCATACCACCTAATTCCTATGTATTTTTATATCTAACGCCTAAATTTTAATTTTACATGTATGCTACCTTACTTATGCATGAAAAGGTGTATTTCACCTTTTAGAAGTTACAATAGTGGTATTTTTTATGTGATATGAAATAGGAGTGTAATTGTAAAAGGTAAAGTTTAGGTGTTTGATATGTAAATACGTAGGAATTGGGTCGTATCTAGGTAAATGCCTCTATATTTATAACTGGCCTTGTTTAATACTTTTTGTTAGTCGGGATCCTGGCATATGCTTCCTAAATTGTTTGAGGATGACTCTTTTACTGCTTTGGACAATCCTGATGTCCGAAGCAATGATATTTCATATGGGATCAATATTTGTTATCTGATATACGCAAATCAGAACTGATATTCACTTGATAGGCATAATATGTGGCAAGTACTTTGTTTATTAAGTTATAGAAGCGCAATTGCAAAGGCAATTGATGTGGATGATCTTTCTGGCATATTCATGGGAGTATTATACCAGTTTGTTTTGTTTGGGACCTTTCTTAATAAATCCACGAAGAGTTTTTTCTGGTCTTATTTCTTTCTTATTGATTTAGACTAAACTGTCTTAATTGTTAAGGTATTCAAAGTAATGTTTCATATTTTGCTTTGTCACGACCCAATCCAAGATATTAGAATTAATTAAGGCAGAAGCAGATGGTCGGATTGTGAAATAAATTTCTTTTTAAACATTGACATTAACTTACATTAATATTCATATAGAAAAGAGACTAATTCACAATACACGCGTAAGCAATCTTCTACATACATACGATCATCCAATGATACAGTAACATAATTAGTACAATAAAAGTAACAAAACATAAAAATCAACAAATTACTATCTATCACCAATTGTGTCTCTCATCCTGTAAATAAATTCTCTTCTATCATTCATATTAATTTAGTGAATTTTTTCCTGAAAGAAAGTTAAGCAATAGGAAAAAGTTAAGCAATAGGTTAAGGAACTTAATGAATAATTACCATATTATTATGCATTAAATTTTTATATGTAAATGCCCAACATGATTTTCTAAAGGAACATGTTGGTCAAAAAGTAAACTTTGCCTTTCTTAATTTTTTATAAAATTAAATTTAATTATCTAATAATTATATTTTCATTTTTTTATATATTTTTTTCATTTTAAAAGCCATCTCAGAACCCCCGTCAAAAACATTTTTTATTTTATACCATAAAGACAACAATTTTCATTTCCCGTTTCCCTTCTTCCTTTTGTGCCATAAAGACAACAATTTTCATTTCCCTTTTTCATTTTGTACCATAAAGGCATAACTCTTTACATTTTCCTTTTCATTTAATGTGCATGAGTACAATAGCATCTCTTACTAAAACATTAGGGGATAACTCCTAATAGACTTAATTTTTTATCTTTCATTTAAGTTATATTTCATTTATTTCAAAAATTAAATCCGTTTAATCTTTCATTTAACGCATTGCAAAATATAAAAAATTAAAACCGTTCACTAATGCTTAGTTATAAGAGTGTTTTGAGTATGTGTAACAAATGAAACTTTTTTAGAAGCACAAGAGAAATTAATTTAATGCAAGTAATAATTATGTTACGTTTATGCCTAATATAAGGGCAAATTTGTCTTTTATTATTATTATTGTAGGGAATAAATAAATTTATTATGTTTAAGATTAGTTTTTATGCATGAGATTGAGTTATGAGTCTGACGTCTAGGTATTGGGAGAGATTTTCTATCTCTCGAATTGTAGGAGTTGGGAGAGATCGCCTACCTATCGAATCATAGAATCATAGGAATTGGGAGAGATCGCCTACATCTCGAATCGTAGAGTTGTGTTTCTTGTGGGATCAGAAGTTCCTTCGTGACTGAAGACCTTCGGCATCGAATCCAAGCAGTGTATGCCTCAACTTGATCGCAACATACAGAAAACTGTAACTCGCGTCTTTCTTCTCCTATCGCTTCGTCCTGTAGTATTGTCGTGAGTTCAGCGCGTGGAAGGTGGCGACGGGATTGCGTCTTCTATAAGTTGTGTCGTCTCTCTTATTTTATTTGCAAATAGAGCCGTTGCATGGTAAGCGATGAAGGAATCCCGGCTTACTGAGACCCGAAACTCCCTCCTTCGCCTCCTCCCACATTGTTTGCATGCAGTCATGATCAGAGCGAGCTGGGAAGGCCCTGACACGAAGGAATCGCGACGTATAGACGCCTGAAGCTCCCATCATTCGCCTCCTCCCACGCAACACGGCCATGTGCAAGACTCACTGAAGAACAAAGGGATCGCGGCTTACAGAGATCCATAACTCCTTTCTCTTGCTCTCGTGTCGTCTTCTCTTACGGTCGAGATCAGAGCTAAATAGGGAAGGCTTCGATGGGATTACAACCTAACAAGGATCCGTAACTCTATACTTCTTCTTTTACTCTTGTCTTCACAACACAACTGAGATTAGAGCTAGGTGAGATGGCCACGTGGGGATTGCAGCGTACAGAGACCACAAACTTTTGGTTGCTGCTGCGTTAGAATAAAATTGCAACAACTAAAAGGATTTACACGACATGAAGGCAGCATCACGACGTTAGGCGGATCGGGAACTGTGGTATCAAGCGAGGAAACCCGGAGCATAATCAAGCCACAACACTTTGAAGAAATAATACGACATTCGGATGGTTTGAACAAACAAAAGCAAGCATAATCAAAGTTGATAGAGAGGGAAGAAACAAGTGAGATAGAGTTGATAGAGCTTTTGGTGATCACTAAGCGATAGGATGAGCTGTTTATGACTATGATATTCTCTAAGATTGATTGGAAATCAGGCCACGTGAGTCACTATAAATTTCCGATTAGGTGGAAAGATGGTCAGATAATGATACTAAGTGGAAGCCATTTGACTTGATCAAGAAGCAGTCTAATTTTTTCTCATCTTGAGGACAAGATATATTTTTTTTTGGGGGGGAGGCGTATTGTTACGGCTATGCCTAGTCTAAGGGCAAGTTTGTCTTTTGTATGCCTCAGGGCAATTTAGTCTTTTAATATTATTATTGTTGGGTATAAATAAGTTTCTTATGTTTAGGGTTAGTTTTTGTGCGTGAGATTGAGTTGTGAGTCCTAGGGTTAAGTTTTGAGAAAGATTTCCTACCTTTTGAATTGTAGGAATTGGGAGGGATCACCTACCTCTCGATTCGTAAGTGCTTATTTTAGTATTCTCATTCAGTTGTTTGAATTATTTAAATAAGAAATTTATTTTGCTCTAATTTATGTGGAGAATCGTGTCAATTTTAGCTCAAGATCATATCAAATTACCGACCTTGATTTTCTTTTATGAAATGATTCTTTCATATTATTTAAATTTCTCATTCATAGCTTCACTTTCTCACCTTAGTCAGTTTACCAAAAATTTAAATTAAAGATTTTACTCCTAAATAATAACTTTTAATGTCATATTGCACCTAAATCCAAAATTCATATAAATCATTACATACATTAGTGCAAGCATCCACTGCCATTCAGACAACCAACTATAGTTGGAAACTTTAATTGGAGCACGTCTCAGGGAGTTGAGAAGACTGGTCAGGAGAACGATCGTTACTCAGAGTGAAAATAGGCCTAAAAGGAGTACCACACCCACTACAATCCCAACCATAAAATGCTTCAGTTGTCATGGATTTAGGCACATCAACTTCAGTTCCCCGACAAGTCAAGTTGTGCCCTTCATCGAGCAAGGTGTTGTGGAAGAAGTGAGCGAGGAAGAGGCAGTGAAAGAACATGGTGAGGAGTACCATATTTCACCATATGAGGGCAAGATATTAGTGGTTGGATGGTTTCTTCAGACGGAGTTTATGAGGGAGCAATAGTGGCATCACCACAACTTATTCTACACCCATTGCATTGTGAAGGAAAAATATGCAGTCTTGTGGTCGATGGAGGAAGCAACTGGAATGTGGCGTCTACACATATGGTGGACAGTTAAGCCTCATGACTTAGAGGCATGCTCAGTTGTACTCCCTGATGTGGTTGAGGAAGAAGAATATAGTCAACATTGACTTGAAGTGTCTCATGAAGTTTTCGATTGTGAGTTAACTGCAAGATCAAGTTTAGTGCGACATGGTACCCATATATACCTGTCATTTGTTATTGGGGAAACATTGACAGTTTGATTGTTGGACTCCACATGATGGGTTTAGGAATACCTACTCCAACAAAAACGTAAACACATAATCATTAT